CAATGACCTGGTTTTTGCAAGTCATGGAGCAATCCAAACTCTTCTGATTGTTAAACACATTAAGAGTGAACTCTGCTTATGAACACTTGCAATTCAAATGGAGTATGATTACCTTACCTGTTTGACTGTACATACGTTTGAAGGGAAAAAAAACCAGATTTAGAATGTGAATTTATGGTCAGCAAATCAAACTGCTTTTGATCACCATGGTTGTCTATGAGTTATTTCCATGCTTCACCTGTATAGAGGACTGTCATAGGAAGATATTGTATCTATTTTAACTAAAAACATTCTTGATTTAATCATTCTATGCGCTTATATAAGAGTGTACTGAAAATAATAGGGTGGCCCTTGATGAGTAGTATTACATAATGGTGTTATCAGGCAGAGACAATGGTTGATGTGTATTGCATATGAGATGTGCTGTAGAGATGCAGTTGTATAGAATGATGAGAACAGCACGGACAGGTAACAAGCACAAATAAGTTGCCATTAAAAGAAAAGCATCGCCTGCTGTTTTTACTTTCCCATGGCATTTCTTGGGCCAGCCTGGCAACCTAGAGACACAATTTAATGGTTGCATCTTTTTCTTCTTCAGTGATCAAAGTTTACATCTCTCCTAGCAGGTGCCACATCAGAGTGGTTTGCTTCGTTTTCACCGGTGCTCCATAATTTAGAGTTGATCCTGTAGACCAGATTTTCTTGCCTCTGACTACTGAATGTGAAAGTTTGCAACAACAACAAAAATATGTCAGACTATCTAGGCAGGCAGCATTGACTTCTGATGACTGTGATTGAACAGAGAATTACCTTTACTGACTGTCTTTGATAGATATACAACATATTCTCTCCGGTGCCATTTTTAAAATATCTTTTCTTGGTAGTCTTACCCGTTAAGATGCTCATAGCACTTAAAAAAAAAAAATCACTTTAATCTTTACTCGGCTGTTAGTAATTCTCAGATATATTCACTCCACTATTACTAGTAAATTTTTAGATATTTTCAATCCAGTGTCATAAGTAAGTTCCTTACATCTTCACTCCACTATTATCTTTCTTAAATAATTCTTTTCCAGCTTCACTCCACTGTTATCTTTATCAAGTAATTCTCTTACATCTTCACTCCAATGTTGTCTTTCTTAAATAATTCTCTCCCACCTTCACTTCACTGTTATCTTTTTTAAATAATTCTCTTTCATCTTCACTCCACTAAGTCTTTCATAAGTAATTCTGTTACATCTACACGCCACTGTTGTCTTTCTTAATTCTCTTATATGTTTGTTCCACTATTGTCTTTCTCAAGTAATTCTCTTACATCTTCACTCCTCTATTACCTTTCTTAATTAATTTTCTTACATCTTCACTCCACTATTGTATTTGTCAAGTAACTCTCTTATATCTTCACTTCGCTGTTATCTTTCTCAAGTAATTCTCTCATATCTACACTTCACAGTTACCTTTTAACAGTAATTCTCTTACACCTTCCACCTCCTGTTAACTGTTAGCAGTAATGCTCTATGCTTTTTGGAAATGCTCTTTGTGTACTCTGAGTGCTATAGTTGCATGACAGGTTAGATGGTCAAAACTCCTTCAAAGCATGTTAACCCAACTCCCCCTCCCCCTTTTTTTTCCTTAAAAAAAAGCAAAGATTACAGTCCAACGCAGTGGGGAGTGGCCACAGCTTCAGAGCTGGGAAGACCTAATGGCCAACGCTATACTAAAATTATTTTAAAAGTTTTGATAATAGTCTTTATAAACGAACTACAAAATACTTTACTACTCAAAAACGATAATAAAATAAAAACAGCAATAGCATATGATTGATTTCCAGTAACATCTCTTTGTATTTGGTGCCAACGTTCTTCTTACTTGGGTTTTTTTTTAAACAAATGTATTATTTTTATTTATTGTATTATTCAGTCCAAGCTATTCTGTTTTTGCCCATTCCGGGCTGCTGCTTGAAAGTGTGACGCTCTAAAATTACAAAATGTTAAGCTTGATGGCAAGCCTACCTGGCATATATTAGAGACTCCGTTCAATATCCGAATAGGATATTACTAGTTCACCTGTGTGGGTAAAGATGTAACTTCCACCCCACTCTCCCAACCCCAAGTTTCTTCTCTGTAGGATCGCACTCTGTATGATTAACATCTCAAGCATGAGAATCAAACCGGTACAAATCCTGGAAACCCCGTTCAACCACATAGCAGTTATACTGGAGAACTACAAAATGGTTACGCAGTGTGGTTGGGTCTGATTCAAGTAATTAGTTGCATATCGTTTTTTAGTACATCGGCGACCAGGTCACCATTTGGCTCGCCGGTAGACGACTTTGTCGCCGGTCGGGACAGGATTTGGGTCTGTCTCCATTGATCGCATCAACACTGCAGGCTCTTGGTGGCGTGCAGTGCTAGGCATTTTATATGGCACATATAATCTAGTCACAATTATAACCTAAAGGTTCCTATTCGGGAATGCTGGTTAAAAGATTGTCCCCCCCCCCCCTCCCTTTAAAGCACCTACCTACCTCGTTAATAAGTCTTAGTCAACCACAAGCCTATTACCATTATACTATTACGTGTTCTGAGTAATTCTCTTAGATTTCCACTTTTCTTGATGACCCCAGATGTTCACCTTATTGCCAGGTATTGCTAGTAATTCTTTTGGATGTTCTAACCATTTGCTAGTGGTACAGTGGCACTCCACTTTCATTAAAATATATGTTTATACTCGCCCGAAAAGTCAATATTTGCCTCTCCCCAGGCGTGGCCGGCAAGTCACGAGGAGACGAGGAAAGAGATGACGATGGACCGGTTCCAAGCGCTGACATAAAAAATTAGTTGTCAGCTTAGGAAAAAAAAACATTTCACATTTTCATCAAGACATGGCACATAAACATCTCTACAGTTAATAAGCCCATCAGTTCATTAAATAGATGATGTGTTTGAAAACTTTCCGACAACAAAATTAACAAAGAACATTTAATAACATTAAAAACAATGCTGATGAGTTATCAGGACATGAATCACAAGAAGCAAAGTGGAGATGACCCCCCACCCCTTTTTCCAAACAATGGCCATTTTTTGTTAATCCATAAGATAAATTTGTTTACATTTTATTTCTGCAGGCCTACAGTATGTTTGGCAGCATCTGTGGCTTAGGCGTTGCGAACGTACTAGAACGATTTAGAAGAAAAATGAAGAACTTATGGGTTACTACACGTGTGCCATGACGTTGATCTGTTGTTCAAAACCTCAGACGTTTTTATATTCGTAGCACCCCCCCCCCCCCCCCCCCCCCCACCCTTTCCCCTCACTAACGGATTAATGACGCATAGTTGAGTTCCAGCGTCCAAAAGGGTATATAATCTGACTCTTAAGACTTCTAAAACGTACTCCTTTATTGTCTCCCTTTTCTGTGTAGGGTTCGTTGATTAGGACACACCAGCCACACTATCGACGGTCAACCCATGGATCATGCCGATAATATTGATACCCTCAGGGAAATGGGAAGGGTGGAGGACTCTGGGGGCAGTGAATCCCTTTCACTCACCAGGATGATAGACTTGGGAGTTTAGATCGTCAAAAAAAAATGAGATGCACACCAGGGACAACAGAGGACTTGTTAATCAACATAGAAATAATACGCTGGGGGGTTATAATTCCCTGAATCCTTTTTTAGGATGCAATTTTTCGTTATTTGAAGCCCTACTCTGGCTCTTGCTAGGGGCTGCAATATAGCCCGGCCATAAATATGGTCTAATGGCTGAACGCGGTTTTCGGGACCTCTCCAGGGTGATCCTCATCCACATGGTGGCACTTTGTGTCATCGGGCGTTTATCACCTGTGTGATGTACTGGTGGGGTAAAAGAAGATAGAGATAGATAGACTCTGGGGTACATAATAAGTTGAGGATCTGAGCACCAATGGACGTGTCCGGAGTGCAATGATGAGAACCCAACTAAATAACTAACACCAGCTACTATTTATATATCTGTTCATCCATCATCGAATCCTATTTGGTACAACGCCCCCCCCCCCCCACCCTCCAAAAAATGTCACTTACTGCCTTCATTATAGCACTTTTGCGATGTAGGCAGGGGTGTGTTTCAGCCTGAGGATTTACGGCCATATGGCTAGTGTTTGTCGCCACGACTGTGCAGGTGAGGATTTATTTTGGCACTACGCCAAAGAAGCGTAAGTGTGATTTTCATCTTAATGTTTTTTTTTTCACGTCTGTTTGTCACAGTACAATATACCAAACACACGTGAATTCGTAATAAAAAAAAAAGCCAGAAGGAAGTACAGTATAACTTGTCACGCAACTGTACCAAACGTGATTTTCTCGAAACAGAGATTCAGCACTTAGTTGACTTTGGCGCAGTGCTAAAGTGTCTTAATCTTAGTCGAGGTTTGAACCTCACTGCAATCTGGTCACCCCATACTTGCCCCGTTCCTGTGCCAGTGAAAATCAAATAAAATGTCTCATTTGAAAAGCTGGTGAACAAACAATAAGTCCGGGCACAATTCAGAAATATGCGCACGTTTTAAACATAATTGTCTATTGAAGATGGTAGAGGCGCTAAAGCCAACAGTCGCCAAAAAATGCAGTTTGTCAATGATGGAAGTAGTTGGGTACAATAAGTTGGTTATACACGCGTAACATTTTTACATAAGGTATTTCACCAGCCCACACGTAAACCGGCTAATTTGAATACCAAGACCTAACCAATGCGCAAATGTAATGCATTCCAGATAAGAGAAAAATAAAAAAAACAGCTCACAGTGTTGCACCAAGCACTGAACGCTGTAGCTCAGGTAGCAAAAATGTAGCCTTCATTCAATATGTGGAAATTTCATTAGCAAAACATTGTCAGAAAGCAAAATAACTTCGAAGCTAAACATTTTGCCATACCGGAAGCTGGATCATTAGACCGGAAGCTCAAGAAGGGCACGTAATCTGAGAACTGAAGATGTCACAAATATATTCCCTCATTGTTTTTACACATCAGACGTCATGAGAAACGTCCGAGGATTACCTTCCCTTTCTGCTGTCTCGGGAAGGTTAATCCTTGGCGCATCAACGATCCCTTCGATCTCTCCATCTTCTATTGAATCCTGATCACAGCCGCCTTTTAGTTTTGATCTAACACTGCAAACGTAAGCCTTAGTCCTGCGCCGAAAACTTGGCGAGAAAATGAGATACACGTAAAACTTAATAACCCACTCGAACCTGCCCAGGTAAAGAAACACATTCTGAAGATCGATCATGAGTTGGGTTCGTGAAGAAGAATTGAAAGTTGCATACATTCTCAACAACCCCGTTGGGAATTTCAATAGCAGTATTACGAGAATAATGGGAAATATAACATTGGTGACTCGAACCGGCGCCCGATTCGACGAGTTTCTAATACTACCTGGTCTGCTGGATACCTCAATCGTGGAGGAGATACGGTAGTATTCGCATCCCCGACCACAGATGAGGATCAAGAGTACGATGAGAACCATGCTGGGAAATACGAAGGTGAAGATGTAGTCGAGCATCATCAGATTGTAAAAGTCCTTTCTGAAGAAGTCCCACACCTGACAGATTAAGTTGGGACCAGAGGAGATTGGGCCTGTCATATAGATGACGTAGTAGTAGCAGGTGCCGGTCATCACAAACATACCTGCGATTAAAGTAAATAGGGCGTATATTAGTGTTTCTGTGTAGTGTTATGCAATCTTAAAAAGAGCATATGTTAGTGCGTCTGTATGGTGTTATAAACAATTAAACAGAACATTTGTTACTTTTTTTTTGGTAGCATTAGTCATCCCCTTGTGGGATGCCATTTTTCGTTATTTCAAAGCCACACCCTGGCTCTTGCCAGGGGCCGCAATATCGCTCGTCCAAGGTCTAATGGCTTAACGCGGTTCCCTGGACCTCTCCACGGGTGATCCTCATCCACACGGTGGCACTTTGCGTCATCGGGTGTTTATCGCGTGTGTGATGACCTAGTGGAGTTTCTGGGACCTTTTCACGGGTGATCTTCATCCTTATGGTGGTATTTGTCTCACCGGGTGTTTATCGCTTGTGTGATGTCCTGGTGGGGTACAACTACCTACGCCTACCTACACTTGATAGTGCTTCTGTGAAGTTTTATATAAATTGAACAGAATGTGTGTTAGCTCTTCTGTGTAGTGTTACATACAATCCAACAGGGCATATGTTAGAGCGTCTGTGTAGTGTTGTATAAAATTAAACAGGACATATGTCAGTGCTTCTGTGCTGTGATACCAAATATACTGGGTTGGTTCTGCAACGTCCTGTAAAGAATACACAACAAACTCACAAAGATAAGTCAGCGTCTATGGCGTAGGCGTTGCGAACGAGCTACGCAATGCCAATCGGCGGAGTTCGATTCCGGCTGCGGGCGATGTGGCAGGACATCACATTGAGCTGGATTAGACGGTGGTATACAGAGTTGACCGTTTAGAAAGCAATGACAAACTACTGAACGTAGATGCCCCAGCAAAATCACAGTACAACAATACTGGAATTGGTTCTACCACGTCCGTTAAAGGGGTGTGTTTGTTTAAGAACCTCACTTTAGTAAATATTTCATACAGAAAGCCACTGCATGCCATAACACCACCTTGACAGTTTCATACGTCATTTAAGATGTATGCTGGGGAAAAAAACATGCTTACCGCAGAGATGTGGTTTTTGAGAAGAATGCAGAGAACATAATGGACAGATAAACAAAAAAAAAGGCAGCCCTTATCAAGACAGATGAAAGTCGTAAACTTATTAAAACACCTAGACGTAGGCTATGTGGTTTGGAAATGTATTGAGAAGGATTTGACTCCAGAACTTGCTAACAACTGGCAGGATTGGTGGAACGTGAGCAAGAGGACGACAAAGACACACACCTGAATGGTCTTTCCACATGAATGGGGCAAGGCAAGGACACTGACATGACCTGTGATTATGGTGATCGTGTGGGGTGCCGAAACAATATAGTCTACGCTCACTGACACCACGCGTGATAATTATGATGGGAAAAAACCCACTATTTGTATTATTGACATGAGCAGTGTTGGGCTAGTGGTGCTGATCCTGTGCATGTGAATGGGCACTCGATAGGTGACCTTGTCAACATCAAGCCGACCATTTTTACTTGTCAGGAAATTTTCTTGTATCCATAGCTTTGATAGGTCGGAGGTGGGAGTTTGCAAGGGCCGAATGTTAAACAGGCCTGCGTGCCTAATTTGTCACCCTTTGAAAAAAAATTTCGTTTGTTCGTTCGTTCGTTCGTTTGTTCGTCTGGGAGCCCAAGTTCATTTGAAACGTCTGCCCCGACAGGAATTTAGACACATAATCACTGCACCGGAAGGCAAGAGCGTTAGTTGCTGCACTATAGACATAAACACCTACATATAAATATCTATGTATATATGATTGAAAGGTCTGCATTTCCCCCCCCCCCCCCCCAAATCCCAGGTCGACCCAACATGCGGGGGTACTAGATGCGGTCCTGGGAAGTAAAGGTGGCCGGCGTGGTGCTGACCACATCACCCATGAAGTGCCGATTGCTTTATAAAAATTTCCTCCTAAGTCGGAGTACATCTGCCGTAGAGGCGGGGAACGAGTACTGCAAACAAATAAGCCAGTAAAACGGATGTACACGCAAAACTCAGGTCAAGGTAAAAGCCAAAAGTCCATTTTGGACGAACAACCGCGACTTACCGCCGGAATTCACAGCCGGTGAACAAGAAGAAGAAGAAGAAGAAAGCTTTTTAAAATATAGGTCTAGCCCTATATGCCTAACGCGCATGAAGGCGTGGGAAAAGGATCCTTTACTTTTACTTTACTGACTATATCTATCATCATCACTATTAAGTGCCTTGCCAGCTGGGGTGGGCGTTCATGCGTCGCCACAGATCTCAGTCTTTGGTGTTCTGCATCAATTCCACTGATGATATTCCTCCATGCCACTGTCTCAAGCCATCCACCATATTTTTTCTTGGTCTGCCTCTGCCTCTTCTACCAGTGTTCTTTCCAGTCGTCAGGATATTTCCAGTGCTCCTTTTCTCATTACATAAACAGAGAACTTTGTTTCCTTTTCACTGTTGTACATACTGTTCTTTTTTCATTTGCCATTTCCAGGCATTCAGTGTTGGTTATTCTTGCAGTCCAAGGTCTTCTCAAAAATCACATCTCAGTTGATTCCAAACTCTTCCTAATTTGTTTGCTCACATTCCAAGATGCACTACCATTCAACAAAACAGTTTCGATTTAACATTTCAATGCTCGCTTTCTGATGTTTAATGAGAGTGATTTATTACATAAAATCCTTTTCATCTTCTGAAAAGCTGCCTTCGCCTGACAAATTCTGCTCTTAATTTATGTCACACATCGTCCATCTAATGTTATGAATGCTCCCAAATAATTGAATTTATTGGCTTGGTAAAGCACTTTCTCTACTGTTGCTATGTCACAATTTGGGATTATCTTCTTCTTTGATATAACCATTGTGTCTGTTTTCTTGATATTCACGGAGTGTCCATTTTTTGCACTTACTAGTTTAACAGTCGGCTCTGGGGCTAAGTCGATGCAAACGCTTCGTAATGCCAGGATGCCGGATTAGATCCAAGCTGCGGGCCATGCGCCTTGCGTTGGTTTCGACAGTGGTATCAAGAGAGCCGACCGTCCAGGAGGCAATGGCAAACTACTGGACGTAAATGCCTAGAAAAACCACACAACCGCATAGGGCTGTTGGGGTTGGTTCTGCGACGTCCTGTAAAGGATACGCAAACTAACCACTAGTAGAACAATGTCTAATAGTTGTTTTCTATATACATATTGTAACGCAGATAATGGGCACTTTGCACACAAGCGACGAATACCATATGACGCTAGGCTAATAGTTTGAGAGACTAACTGGCACTAGATGGGCGATGTAGTCAGTTTACCGTCAGCTGCTTTTCCTTACCAGGAGATTAGCTGGCATTTATTTAGGGCTGGGAGCCAAAGTCAGTAGGTCCGTCTCTTTACGGACTTGCTCCCACAACCTTCAGGCCGACAGCGAAGCGTCTACCAACTGCTAAAGATGATGTCAATCAGCAGATCCTTTACAGAGCGTCACTCTTCATGGCACACACGGAAGTCTCTCTTCCTCTAGCCAACTGTCCAGTCATATGTGCTTTCGTAGCCAATGTCCCTTCAACGTTTTTATCCACCTTCATAAAGGTCGGTGGCTGCCTCGTCTTCGGGAAACTGTACCATCCACAACTCTCTATGACGTTTAACATGGACACAAAGGCTTAGATTTCGGGACAGAATGCTGTTTTTAAGTCAATTCTTTTCGATATTCAAATCATATGAGGGGGGAGGGGGGAGGTTATATACTGAGATGTAATTATGGTTCTATTTCCCCCCAAACAGACAGTCGAATATTTTAGAGGGATGGTAGATAAGCTGCATGCAGTCGTGTGACCTAGGCTGCATGCAGTCGTGTGACCTAGGCTGCACTCTCTCGTGGGACGTAGGTGGTTTGGGTTCAGGCCCAGTTCTAGATGTTTTGGGCACCCTAAAAAATAATAGACTGTCCATGTGACGTCATCCTGGGGGGGGGGGAGATATTGGGAAAGCACCAGAATTATGTATTTACTGCTGTATATTTCATACTTTTAATAGAAGAAAACACACACACACACACACACACACACATTTTCGTGCATCGAGGCATAGAGGTGATCCAGATCTTTCTCTTCTTCTTTTCTCTACTCTTGGAATGCCTCGCGGCGTCACAACAGCAGGAGATCTCTGGAAACGGCCCTTCTGTTCGCTTTGTACAGCAAATTTTGTTTTAGTGTATCTACATTTCTGCGACCCATCTTTTGCCTGGTCAGCTTCTGGCTCAATTACTGCTGTATCTACATAAAATTGCTTTCTAGGATGCCCTGTCTGATGCTAGTCTTGTTACCATGGTCACAGCATTTGACTGGTTATGTACCTATACGATTCAGTATTGATTCTGTGCCGACTCTCCTCCTGATGTCATCGTTCCTAAGTCGATCTTTCCTAATTACACTTAGCATAATACGTAAACATTTCATTTCTGTGGTGACTATTTTCTTCTGTTTTCTGAAAATCCGTTCTGATAAACCACCCATTTAGACCAGTGAGCAGGTCAAGCATCACATCAGTATATCTCGTTATTTCAAAAGTCATTACATCCTTCCCGTCACATGGTCATTAAGCTGGTTCACCTGGGGGTCTACACAACATAGCAGAACGAAAACACACACAGAAACACATGTAGCGCACACACAAAGACATAAATACTCATAAAAACGCATAGGCGCACGCATCCACTAACACACACACACACTCAAACACCATACACACAATACACACATACATGTGTAGGCATACACGCGCACACACACACACAGACACATAAATACACGCACACTGACACACACATAGACATAAACGGACATAGACACACACCCAGCGCCCCCCTCCCACTGCTACACATACACACTCGCGCGCGCACACACAAACACACACACACAAGGTGGATCTGCATGTTCTATATACAAAACTCTACTCACTGATGACGACAACCTTGGCTCTAAAGGTGGTACACAAGGCAGCTTTCCTCAAAGGGTAGTAGACGCTGATGAACTTCTCTACGCCCAGCGCAATAGGGTACCAGATACACAAAAAAATGAAGATATAGCTGAAGTAGGTGGTGTACTGGCACACTCCAGACTGTGGAGAGACACATGGTACTATTAGTTCTAGGAGAGACACGTAGTTCTGTTCGTTCTAGGAGAGACACGTAGTACTATTAGTTCTAGGAGAGACACGTAATACTGTTAGTTTTAGGAGAGACACGTAGTTCTGTTAGTTATAGGTGAGACACGTAGTTCTGTTAGTTATAGGTGAGACACATGGTACTGTTAGTTCTAGGAGAAACACGTAGTACTGTTAGTTCTAGGAGAGACGCGTAGTACTGTTAGTTCTAGGAGAGAAACATAGTACTGTTAGTTCCAGCAGAGACACATAGTACTGTTAGTTCCAGGAGAGACACATAGTACTGTTAGTTCTAGGAGAGACACGTAATACTGTTAGTTCTAGGAGAGACACATGGTACTGTTAGTTCTAGGAGAGACACGTAGTACTGTTAGTTCTAGAAAAGACAAACGGTACTGTTAGCTCTAAGAGAGACATATGGTATTGTTAGGTCTAAGAGAGACACACGGTACTGTTAGCTGTAAGAGAGACACATGGTACTTTGAGCTCTAAGAGAGACATATGTTAATGTTAGCTATAAGAGAAAGATATGGTACTGTTAGTTCTAGGAGAGACACATAGTACTGTTAGTTCTAGGAGAGACACATGGTGCTGTTAGTTTTAGGAGAGACACATAGTACTGTTAGTTCTAGGAGAGACACATGGTACCATTTCCTCTAAGAGAGACACATAGTACTGTTAATTCTAGGAGAGACACATAGTACTGTTTCCTCTAAAAGAGACACAGGGTACTGTCAGTTCTAAGAGAGACACATGGTACTGTTAGTTTTAGGAGAGACGCATGGTACTGTTAGTTACAGGACAGACACACGGTAATGTTAGGTCTAAGAGAGACATATGGTACTGTTAATTCTACTAGAGACACGAGATTTATTGTACTTTTAGTTCCGGGAGAGACACAAAGTACTGTTAGTCCCAGGAGTCGACTCATACAATCTTGATTCACTGTTATATGAATCTGTTTTATGTTCTGCATGATAGCACGAACGATTGTTCTTTTTCACAGATGCTGTGTTCTAGAGAAATAATAAAGGACCACTTTTCACAATGCTTCCTGGACATATAGTAGTAAAGTAAAGGTCCATTTAAGCACCAGGGACCAATTTGACACATGGGTCTAGAATCAAATTTTCATGGACCAGTCTGGTCGGGTGACGTGGTTTATATCATAGTGGTCACCTTCATTTCCTAGGCCTTTACCTGGCTCACATTCAACACTCAGGGAAGGAGAAAGACGGACATACACATTTTACTGTTACCATTGGAATTGGAACTCGGCGTTTACAGCTGAAGATAGGAACTGTCGCCTGCGAATGTGCATTAGAACGCACCGGTACTGAGTGAGCAAACAAGACGTCAAAAACAATACGTAACGTTGTGAAGGTATTTTTGTCAAAGGCAGTTGATGTTTACAGTCCGAAGGAGACGGACGTGTGGATCCTTGAGGACGCTTTACCCCGGGATCCCACGGAAGCAAACGTTATATACAGTTGGATCCTTGAGGACGTTTTTACCCTGGGAATCCAATATAGACCTCAGCAGAAAGCTGGTATATTGACACAGTTCGGCAGTAAGCCGGTATACCTTCATTACTTAATTCAGACGGCGGAGCTGAAGACAAAGATTACTGTCTGGATCTCAAGGTCGGACGGCGACCTATCGTGAGGACATATCAGTCCATGGATGTACGAGCAGGCTTTTGTTGATGTGCTTGAATGAGTCTGGATTATTGATTTCATATTTCTCCTTGTGCTGATCATCGTTATTGTCAACACACAAATGGAACCTTTAAAAAGAGTTCTCGTTCCACTACGTTTGGAAGCTTCTACATTCATCATGTTGTGTTACTCTTGGCCAGTGGCATGTTAAGTGTTGATGCCATTTGTTACATTGCGACGCCCCCTAGTCACTTTGGTACGCCGCACATCACCACGCATCCTTTACAACACGTCACATTGTACGCACAAGCATCCGCCCGTCACAGGAACGAAGCGCTTAAGTGAATATGTCGAGTGTGATGATGTCGATTCTTAAATCATAACTCATAACTACAATCCTCAAGGGGAAAATCTTTTCGTTTCCATTGCCAACTTAACGGTAAACGCGTTTACCGTTGTCGAAATAAACGAAAAGTTATTTCTTACAAATCGCATGAAGTCAAATCAAACATACTATGCTGGAGCTGTTAAAGTGCGTTTCTAACCTTTAAGATACAGTCGCCAACAATCTATAATCAAACGACTCTATCAGTATTACTTAATCATACATTGAGAACTACAGAACCTAAAGATAGGAAGTCGCATTGCCCCAGACAAACCCAGAATGAAATGAAGATTAATCAAACTCTAGTAGCAACAGCAGAAACTATTGATATATTTGTCTACAGCTGTGTAAAAGTAGTAATTTCAGCAATGGAAGAGCAGCGCTTCCTGTATAATAGACAGAAGCTCTCAGGATAGTCGCACAAAAGGAAAATGTAAAACAAATGTTTCATGTTAGCCTCCAATCAGTCAAGCAAGCGGTTCTGGATTGAATTGTTAACCTCGGATTGAGGTAGCAATGAAATAGTTAACTGTTTTTTGTACTAGAGCAAGAGAGATTTAGGCAATGTTAAAGTGTTCAGTAGGCTTCGGAAATCCATTCGTAGCACGGGTAGCGTTTTCGGGGCACTCAGTACCATATGAGTTCAGATGAAGAGTGGCTAGCAAAACACCTGGGCTTTCCTGTGAAGAAACCCGTGTTCGAATCTTAGGCGAGGTAACGTGGTTTTTTTCTCTCTCCCTATATGGAAAAAAGAACACCATAACTTGCACATTTCGTGGTGACTGCATCAGTCATTCAGCCTTAAATCCTATGTCCAAATCCTCTGTCATGCACAGTCCAAAGAGTGTTTAATATAGGAAGTAACGACACTTTAAATGAAGAGCAATGAAGATGTTTTGAAATAAAATACCTCATGGAAAGAAATTATTATCTGCAAATTTAGAAGGCAATCTACTTTCTTTGGTCAAGTTGAGAGAAGGGTTAAACTGGAATCCATCCTGCTACTGACGAGCTGCAGGAAGTGAGAGGCAGAGGAAGACCAACATAGAAAAAATGCTGGTTGGTTTAGCATGATGGTATGGAAGAACTTCTGAATCAGAGATGACTGACAGTTCTCGACACAGGAGGTTGTGGAGAATCATTATTACCAGTGTCATACGGCCATGACATGGACTATAAGAATAAGATGACAAAATCTGATTACCACAATTGTTTGACTAGTCTTTCTCTTCTTTAGCATTACAAGCCTCTGATGTTCTTTTCTACAGATATCACCCACCTCTATTATTCTATGTGACTGACCCTGGTGTCTGTATCTTTGTTGTGAGCATATATTATGTTGCTGTGTCGGCCAGATCCCCCGGTCACTCACCGCTACACCATTCTCCTTAGTCTGTGATGAACTGTTTATGCCTCTGCAATGTTTGCTCGTCCCAAAGACCCTTGGTAACATTGAACTGTTTATGCCTCTGCAATGTTTACTCGTCCCAAAGACCCTTGGTAACATTGAACTGTTTATGCCTCTGCAATGTTTACTCGCCCCAAAGACCCTTGGTAACATTGAACTGTTTATGCCTCTGCAATGTTTACTCGTCCCAAAGACCCTTGGTAACATTGAACTCTTTATGCCTCTGCAATGTTTAATCGCCCCAAAGACCCTTGGTAACATTGAACTGTTTATGCCTCTGCAATGTTTACTCGCCCCAAAGACCCTTGGTAACATTGAACTGTTTATGCCTCTGCAATGTTTACTCGTCCCGAAGAGCCTTGGTAACATTGAACTGTTTATGCCTCTGCAATGTTTACTCGTCCCAAAGACCCTTGGTAACATTGAACTGTTTATGCCTCTGCAATGTTTACTCGTCCCAAAGACCCTTGGTAACATTGAACTGTTTATGCCTCTGCAATGTTTACTCGCCCCAAAGACCCTTGGTAACATTGAACTGTTTACGCCTCTGCAATGTTTGCTCGTCCCAAAGACCCTTGGTAACATTGAACTGTTTATGCCTCTGCAATGTTTACTCGTCCCAAAGACCCTTGGTAACATTGAACTGTTTATGCCTCTGCAATGTTTACTCGCCCCAAAGACCCTTGGTAACATTGAACTGTTTATGCCTCTGCAATGTTTACTCGTCCCAAAGACCCTTGGTAACATTGAACTGTTTATGCCTCTGCAATGTTTACTCGTCCCAAAGACCCTTGGTAACATTGAACTGTTTATGCCTCTGCAATCTTTACTCGTCCCAAAGACCCTTGGTAACATTGAACTGTTTATGCCTCTGCAATGTTTACTCGTCCCAAAGACCCTTGGTAACATCTAGCTTGTAAGGCATCAAATTACCACCAAGAAAAACAGAACTAGCCAGTTTGTCTGCTTGTTCGTCTCCCATCATACTTGTATACCCTGGCGACAATTGTTCGCTTTTTAAAAGAGATATTTATCTCACAACAAAACTATCAAATACAGAAGTTTCAAGAGGCTCTGAAAAAAAGTGATAAATTAAAAGAAATAGGGAAAGAGGGTAACAATTTCGGCCATTGAGATTTAACTCCTGTCAACATCACACTGGAGGAAAACGTTGACGGCAAGCGCTCAAAAACAAGATGTGGAACGATAACATCAATAGATGGACGAACAACAGTCTCAGAGAGGGCACGACCAGGACGAGAGACAGAATGTGCTTGAGATCTATTACATGTAACCTTCATTGTGCAGACGACACCTAATTGATTAACTAAAATGTGTAACTCCTATGATACTACTCTCATTGTTGCGCAATGCTAAAAAACAAGACAACTGTAGAACGTAGTTTCAAAATTTGAAAAGACAACACTTTACTGACCTGTCAGACTTTGTTAGCAAAAACATAAATACTTGATGTATTTGTCTACAGCGGTCTCTGGAATTATACACTTTGACAACAATCACATGGGTATATTAGAGATAACATGTTTGAAGGACAAGGCACAGGAACGTAAAAAAAAAGGGGGCGGGGGAATGCGGGCTAACATGGGTGTCATAATAGAGAGGCATGACAACACGACAAAGGTATGCGAATTATATATATTCGCATACTTTTATATATATATATACATAAATGTAACAAATATTTGTGAGGTGGGGGTCGGGGTGGGGGAAGGAGGAGGTGACAGGAAATTTTCCACACTAGGTACCACCTGTCTTTGCTACGCCATTGTGACAAGGGTCTCTTTGATTCATAACTCAAAGCAAAATTAATCCAGGATGATATGTGTGTGTGTCTATCTATCTATCTATCTATCTATCTATCTATCTATCTATCTATCTATCTATCTATCTATCTATCTATCTATCTATCTATCTATCTATCTATCTATCTATCTATCTATCTATCTATCTATCTATCTATCTATCTATCTATCTATCTATCTATCTATCTATCTATCTATCTATCTATCTATCTATCTATCTATCTATCTATCTATCTATCTATCTATCTATCTATCTATCTATCTATCTATCTATCTATCTATCTATCTATCTATCTATCTATCTATCTATCTATCTATCTATCTATCTATCTATCTATCTATCTATCTATCTATCTATCTATCTATCTATCTATCTATCTATCTATCTATCTATCTATCTGTCTATCTGTCTATCTGTCTATCTGTCTATCTGTCTATCTGTCTATCTGTCTATCTATCTATCTATCTATCTATCTATCTATCTATCTATCTATCTATCTATCTATCTATCTATCTATCTATCTATCTATCTATCTATCTATCTATCTATCTATCTATCTATCTATCTATCTATCTATCTATCTATCTATCTATCTATCTATCTATCTATCTATCTATCTATCTATCTGTCTGTCTGTCTGTCTGTCTGTCTGTCTGTCTGTCTGTCTGTCTGTCTGTCTGTCTGTCTGTCTGTCTGTCTGTCTGTCTGTCTGTCTGTCTGTCTGTCTGTCTGTCTGTCTGTCTGTCTGTCTGTCTGTCTGTCTGTCTGTCTGTCTGTCTGTCTGTCTGTCTGTCTGTCTGTCTGTCTGTCTGTCTGTCTGTCTGTCTGTCTGTCTGTCTGTCTGTCTGTCTGTCTGTCTGTCTGTCTGTCTGTCTGTCTGTCTGTCTGTCTGTCTGTCTGTCTGTCTGTCTGTCTGTCTGTCTATCTATCTATCTATCTATATATATATATATATATATATATATATATATATATATATATATATATATATATATATATATATATATATAATTTGTCTTTAATGTTTGATGTATAGGCAAAGAAATGCGCTAATACCAATTGCCCCAGGGTATCATCAGATAACTTTTCTATCTTCAATCAGTTTAATGGTTTTTGGTTCTATCTTTATGTTTTCTTTCTTTCTTGCCAAGAACTTCTACGCAAGATTCATTCCAGATTCCTTTGATCTGATCCCAGCAGACTTGTATGCTGACATTTTCAGCTAGCTGCTGCAACACCTTGTACTTTTTAGAGACTGTAACTGAAAACTGTTCCTTAACTTCTTTATCCCTGAGATAACCTACATTATATTGGTTTCAATGAATATAAGATGTTATATATATTTTTAGTTTCAACTTGATTTTACTTACCACCAGGAAATGGTCAGTAATTACATGTTCTTCGAGATCTTGTGATAGAGGTATGATAGTTCAAAACAGTCTGCACGGCTTTTTATGATGATGATAATGATGATGATTATGATGGTGGTGAGGATGGCAATGAGGATGAATGCAAAGGTCATGTTTGTCTTTGCTTAGTTAATTTACCAAGACAATGATGTGAATTCCATGCAGTGCGATCCCATTCTGGATAAACTCCGTCAGCAGGGCGCCACTGTCAACCACAGCCATTGCGGCTAAATATGGAACAGACGGGACCTTGCGCAAACGAGTCCTTGTGAATACCAGATAGGCCATAAGATTGGATAGCATTCCCACAGCCAGAATGATTGGACACGTATAGAAACTAATTATGGTAACAATGGCTGCAATTGTTGGCCTTCTGGGGGTGCGATGAAAGTATGGCACTTTCGTTCGAGTCCCGTTGCTTAGGAGAAGCTGTGTTCTGTTGTCATCCCCTACCCACGTGTTGACATCATCGTAATCCGCGATGTCTGGATAGATAGAGGAATTAAATCCGCGCTCTTCCGTTGGTGGGTATATGATGCTTTCAACGAACTGGGTGACGTTAATCTGCGACATTTCAATAGTTTTCTCAATGCTGAAATCTTTTTGTAGGTTTCGTGGAGTCAGAAGGCAAGGCAGTGAATAAAGACCTGTTAGCTCTGACGCGAAAGTCTAAATGGAACGTGATCTTGAAAATTTAACATGGCGTTAATGTCTCCATGTCGTTTGGTTTACGCCGCTGTGGCAAACTCGTTCATTTATTCAGGTTCACAAATTCAGCTACCATTTAGTCAGCGAATAGACAAATACTACGGCGATGAATTAGTTTTCTTCAAGAAGTGTCTATTTTGTTCTTGTGGAAGTAGTACGCCTATGAATGCCATGTTGTCATTGCTAGATCACATGGACATCAGAATGGTCTTCTGGATCCCAACACAAATTTATTTTTGTAAAGGATATGAAACATTAGGTCTTTTGTGATGATGCCGGAGAACACATTCATCCGACACCGACTAAAAAAAAAAAAATTCTAAAAAAGATTTGCGATTAATTTAACAGCAGATGGTAATTGATTTCTGTTTAATAATCCCAGGTTCATGTCTGCATACATGAAAAGCATTGCCGCACATTGAAATATATACGGCTTAAGAGTTGTGAACGCAATTTCACAATTTTAACATTCTAGAGTTTGAAGTGTTAGCTGCAGGTGATGGAGTACACGATCGATATGCGTTGATTTCGGCAAAGACATAAGCGTCGTTCCAATAGAATGCAATAGCAAACTACTGTTCGTAAAACCGCCTAGTTCAGCCACTCAGCAGATTAGAAATGCCGTGATCTGTTTATAGGACGTCCTGTCATAAACACGCAACGTACTTAATCAAATCAATTATGTGAGAAAAACATTAAGCAGTCTGTGAGCTGACGATGTATGGGCAGCAAAGACGCTGAATAATGAAATAGCTTTGAGAACTGGTATACTGAGATGACGAATCAAATCACTTCACCTTCTGTGGCAGCTGAAGTGAAAAAAAAAAAAATCCTTTTGTGTGCCAGCGAGCACCGTCTCATCAAACGATCTCTGCTCGTTTACCAGAACAAGTCTTGTTAATAACTCTTTCAAACATTGTTTCTTTAATCGGCTTTCTAAAGCAGTGTTGGTCCAACAGATTCTCACACGAGAAGTCACGTTTTAGCCACACGAAAGGTATCCAGTTGGTTAAAAAGAAGAACTATTTGTGAACGATAACAAGGTTGTCTGGTCTGAAGCTGCGACTTAAATCGATTTCTCGAACTGATCCATTGAATGAGTATCGCCATTTTCCAGTAATTCTTTGTCACGCCGACTTCTTGTTGAATCTCCCACAAGTTTGGCGTCCATTTCTTCCTACAAGAGGGAAAAGAAACACATTAAAATGGTAACCAAAATAACGTGTTTTGCAACCAAGTTACATAGTTTCAATTTTAACGTTATTTTAATGCTTAGACATACCAGTAAAAATCGGAGAACTTCAAAAGACACGGACAAATATTCTAAATAAATGTAAGAACATTCTTCCTCTTCTCCTTCACTTCTTCTTTTACAATTTCGGTTATAGGCCGCGGTATTGAGTTCTGCTTCATGTTTTTGTGGCCACCTCGACCATAGCCACGTCGCATTATTGTAGTTTCTCTCGTTCTGTCTGCTTGTCTTGTATAATTCTCTGATGACTTTCTCATATATCTCATTTTCAGAGCTACATTCTCCCCCTCCTGATTTGCTGTGTGTAACCATGTCTGACAACCTGTAGCTAGGAAGGGGATAAATATTTTCTTTATATAAGGAGTTTCTGTGAAAAATGAAGAGCATCCCAAGCAATCTTTCTTTGTCATTTGAGGTAAAGTAAAGGACCCTTTTCCCACAATGTAAGGCGTATTGTGCAAAAAGGGATATACCTATATTTTATAGACCAAACGGTCATTTGAGGTGAGAAAGATAGTTCTTAAAACTATATATGTTCTGATTTACCGAAGTGAATCAAACACACTTAGACGATTAGCAAAATAAAGTATGTGGTCCAATCGGTCATTTAATGTGAGAAAGATAGTTCTTGAAACTATATATGTTCTGATTTACCAAAGTGAATCATACACAGTTAGACTATTAGCAAAATAAAGTATGTGGTCCAATCGGTCATTTGAGGTGAGAAAGATAATTCTTAAAACAATATATTTTCTGATTTACCGAAGTGAATCATACACAGTTTGACGATTAAAAAGTAAAGTAAAGTACAGATCCCTTTTCACGCATTAGGCGCATCGGGTATATGGGAAGAGCATCCCATATTTTTACAGACCAATCAGCACTGGAATGGATAATGTGGTCAGCATTACTCCGGCCGTCTTTACTTTCCCAGGACAGCCATCCTGGTACCCATTTTAGGCTGGGTCGACCTGCGACGCCCCATACCACGATAATAATCCACGCAGCCAGCAGTGGGTTTCGATCGCGGTACGTTGGATTACGAGTCGGACTCGCGAAGCCTAAGCCACGGACGCCGCACAGTTAGACTAGCCCCCCCCCCCCTCCCCAAATAGAGTATGTGGTTTTATAGACAAATGATGAGAACACTCTAAACCAGATACATGGAGAAAATGACCCAAGAAGAGAACAAATTGACCACATCAGATGGAGACAATCTACATTCTTTGGTCATGTCATGAAAAGGTGAAAACTGGAGTACGACGTGGTGGTTGGAAAGGTGAAGGGTAAAAAAGGCAGATGGAGACAGATCGAGAAAATTCTGGACAGTCTGACAGCATGACGTGGAAGATCATAAGTGATAGAGTTAATTAATTGATTACAAGTACACAAGACAGAAGGTTGTTGTCAGACATGCCAATTATCGACTACTTGGTTTGCATAACTTCATCCGATGTTAATTTCTTCACATAAGTTTCCATTTTCAGTAAATGATGTTCCCAGATATATCGCCTGTAATGCTATTTAATACTTCGTACTCAATAACTATATTTCTTCTTTTTCTTCATTTTTTTCTCCGTTTATCCTAAGATGTAATTGTGTTATGCCCGTTTGCAGCATGGCTGAGAAATTTTCCCCCTTTAGCTGACACATCCGACTTCTGCGGGCATTTGTTGACCGGGTTAGCCTTCCTAGTTAAAACTATACTTAAATTCTGCTTATTTCTTACTACTGACATTTTTTATGTTTCTGAAAGTACAGATGGACGTTAAATAGGAAGAATTTAGGAAAGAAGAAGAAGCACAGACAACTACTAGGTTGAACATTATAAGATAGACGACACTGTCATATTTTGGAGACATTCGGAGCGAAGCTGGCAAATAATCATAAAATGGGAACTATGAATGTTAAGTTTTGCTGAGTGTTAAATTAGGAATCGATACCATAGCATTCAGAACACTCCCAGTAGCACTCCGTCCTCATCTTCATCAACAAGAAAAGAGTTCCAATTCCAATGGTACCAGTGTTTAAAAAGTAGTGTTGAGCGTCGGCCTGATCCCCTGGTAACTCCCAGCAGCGCCACTTTACCCAGGTCGCAATGATCTGTTTGTGCCTCCGCACTGTTCACTTGCTCGCAAAAGGCCGTCACAACATCTAGCTTGTCATACATCAGTTCTCCACCAAGCGGTGCAGAACCGGCCAGTCTATCTGCCTGCTTATTTCACAACACACCGCCATAACCTGGAAAAGCAGGGGCTGAACAGGTAGGTGGTAGAATGAGCCGGAGGGGAACAGGGGCTTCAAAGAGAAACTCTGGGACAAGCAATGATGAGAGAAGTAGGGGGATGCTAGACTCGACTCCATGAACGATATCGAATCTTCTGCGCAGGACTGAATGGATGGATAGACTGCGAGCTTTGTGTGACATATAAACAGCAAAACAGAATGGTGAACAATTGTGAACAAGTCAGTCGCCCCGCCACATGACTGCTCTGCTCCTGTGTTAGCGGAAATCAACACACATTGTCCTTCATTGTCCCATTTGAAAACCGGTGAAAATCTTCTCAGTCCCAGCTAAATCTTGAAGCTTGTACAGCAAAGTAAAAATACATAAAGCAACTGTCAGACATGCCAGTACTAACGGTTGCAGAATGCAGGTCACTGCAACAGCTAAATAACTCTATTCTGAATGTTATCGGCCATCCGCGATTTTAGTGCAGTCAACAACACAACACGGGCACACACACACAAACAAACAGAATCCACATGAAATCCACAGCTCACAGTGTCTCACAAGCAAAGTACCTGGGCGTCAGAACCCTTGGACTCCCTGTCAAGAAATGAGAAATTAGCATGCAAATACTGAATAATAGAGGGCCGAGAATCAAGCCTTGGTGTACTCCATTATTTAAGGCAGTGATAAGCGACCGGGATTTATTGTTTGAGTTTTTTTTTTCATATTACCAAAAATAATCGTATTAACTTTAATTACCTAGGGTTAACTTTCATTGGGATGCTGTTGTCTAAGGAACCAGATTTTAGATGTGGAGACACTTTTGCAATCTTAAGTGATGTTGGGAAGTAGCCTTTGACAAGACATTCGTTGCAAATAAAGGTTAACGACTTGCAAATAACTGGTACAGAATTGCGAAGGATCCTATTGCTGAAGAAAAAGAAGAAGAGAAAGAAGAAGAAGAAGAAGAAGAAGAAGAAGAAGAAGAAGAAGAAGAAGAAGAAGAAGAAGAAGAAGAAGAAGAAGAAGAAGAAGAAGAAGAAGAAAAAGAAGAAGAAGAAGAAGAAGAAGTGGACGAACAACCAGAACTATTGGCCGGAGTTTGTAGTCGGTGAACGCGAAGAAGAAGAAGAAGAAGAAGAAGAAGAAGAAGAAGAAGAAGAAGAAGAAGAAGAAGAAGAAGAAGAAGAAGAAGAAGAAGAAAAAGAAGAAGAAGAAGAAGAAGAAGAAGAAGAAGAAGAAGAAGAAGAAGAAAAAGAAGAAGAAAAAGAACAACAACAACAACAACAACATCAACAACAACAATACCAACATCAAAAATACCAAAACCTTATGTAAGGTCACAATATCAAAATAAACTGACTCGTTAAAAGTATTATA